ATTCACTGAAGATTGGCAATAACTAAACCATTATCAGTAGCAGGAAACACCATAAATTTTCCTTTCTAAAGGAAATTAGGAGTACTCAAGTACATTGTACTTTATGCTTTAGCTTTAGTCATCATTCTGCATACAATTGATTCACGAAAATTTGACAAAGATCGTATTTTTTATTCAGAGGTTTTGTTTTTAATCACAGCAAATAAATTACTCAAACAAAAAATAAAAATTAAAACTAAGAAAAGCAGAATTGAAAAAACTTGAACTTAAAAAGGCAAAACTAATAACCAGACCCTAACCAAAAATTAAGAAGTAAATTTTTGGGGTTTATAGCAAGATCTTTCAAGAAAACATCAGATCCAATGTAGACAATAGCACAGTTCAAATCTCAACTTAAAAGGCAGAAACTAAATCAAACCCCACATTTTCTTTTTCTCCACATTTCAAGAAAACTGCACAAGAATCATATAAATGTACTTTTACATAAATAATTACAGTAAAGATAAAAAAAACGGCAGATCCAAGTGATAGAATTTGTTCTTACTCTTGGTACGCAGATAGGACGAAGACAGAGACGAAGACAACCCTTCCGACGAAAGATATGAAGGCCATTGCAAGAAATGACCGGAAATTTACTCTCTTGTCTTGGGATTTTCTCTCTTTCTAGCTGAGTGTGTTTCTCTTTGTAGTAATGAAAGGACGGACAGCATAGATTCAAAATAGTGAAAGACACCAGGAGCGCGAGACCGGATAGACGTGTACGTTTCTCAATCGATTGGTCTCGCATTCTAAGGGTAAGGCCGTTTGTTTTTAATGTAAGAATAAGGATAAAAGATATATTCATTACGGGCTCATATAAAAGATAAAAATTCTAATATTGTGATTTGATGTGATGAATAACAATCATATTTTTCATTTTAATGGCCAAATAATGAAAAACAAACAAGAGCTAAATTTATAAAAAAAATATGCAAATCTAGAAATGTGTGAACGATAATAAGCCCCAGTTTTATTCCCATTAAATTACATTTCATTACATTATATTTTTTTCTCTCCTATTTTCAACCACACAATCGTCCATAAAATAATATTACACGTAAATCGAAAATTTTTCCTTCTTTTTCAACCACTCATTTTTTCAACAAAACAGTATTTCCCCCATTTTCATTATCAAAAATGGGGGCCAAACAGGGGCTAACTAATATTTATGAATGGATAGTAGAAATTAATGATTAATTTTGACTTAATTTATGAATTGTTTTCAAACATAGACTTATTTAATGCTAAACTTATTGAAGAATTTTAAGTAACTAGATTATTAATAATCACTATAGTTCATATTTTGATCTACCATTTCCCTTTTCAACCATTTCCACTGAAATCGTATCATTTTGAAATGTGGAAGCATGTATGCAAAATGACCAAATTCCATAATGTTGTATATGAGCCTTGGAGTAGAGAATTTGAATGCTACATTCTAGAGTGAAAACATAGTAAGAAGTCATAGAATACAACATTCTTAAAAAATTCCAAATATAAATGAAAGTATAGAAATATCAACCATTCATATAATTAATCTTCATTATTTATTCAAAGGATGTGAAAGTATGTACAGACATGGGAGCTCACTAATAAACATCAAAATATGTACCAACTTGGTAACAAAGTAGGGAGCGAGATTTGAGATCTTGAGAGTACATTTACCCCTGTTTAACTTTTTTTTTTTTTTAAACTAAATAATTTATTTCTCATACTTATTTTCAATCATATATTTACATGATAAAATATTTTGTACGTAAATTAAAAGTTTTTCTTACTTTTTAACCATACTAGTCAAAGTAGAACGTGCATTGTACGTTATTCTAAAATAATTTATAAGTGATGTAAAAGTAATATTTGGTACCAATTTGTTTGAGAATTTGATGAGTTTCGGATGAATTAAAGAAAACATAATTTAACATATAAATTTAAGAGAAGAAAATTGTACTCAAATTATACTTTCAAAACTCAATTTCTATGATTGAAATTGTTTGTAATGATGGAATAATATAAATGAGCAATCTTTTTATATTACATTTGATACATAAAAATTAATTGTTAATACATAAATTTAAACATCCATTAAAATTTCTAGATAGATAAATATGAATAAGAATAAATTCATCTATAATAACTCTAGATAAAATTCATTGAATCTAGATTAATGTAAATCTTAATTAAAAGAGAATTAATAGCACACATTTCATAAACGACAATAATTATGTAGTATTTATTACATATCAAAAAATGAAAAGTAAGATATTGTTGAAATAATTGAATTGTAAAGGGTTAAAATCGTTCAAAAAATGATTCTTCATTGTGTGATATTTTAATATATTATAAATTATAGATATTCCCAAAATTACTAATCAAAACATTATTTTTACGTAATTTAAAATTTAACCCCATTTATTATTTATTTTTAATCACACATCCCCTTAACAAAATAATGTTGGATATGGACATGTAACTTTCTCCTAATCAATTTCATGATTTAAAGATGTTGCCATTGTGAACTTTGAGCAAACTTTAGTTACTTTCATCATTTCGTATATTATCTACAATCTTACGCCTATACTTATGCAATTGTCTGAAAATTAATTAAAATGTTACTACTTATCGATAGTGTCATCTAACAAGTCTATTGAAATTCAACCATATATCTAGAGTCATCCCAAATAATCAATCTAGTGACAAAAGAAATGCTGTTCATACCAAAAATAAAAATAAAAAATATTAATAAAAAAATAAAAAAATAAAATGAACATAAAATAAAATAAGAAAACCAACATTACCAAAGGAGAGCATATGAAGAGGTTATGGGAGAGAACCTGAAATAGTATATATTAGGGTTTCGACAAATAAAAAGAGGTAAAATGTGAGTTTGAGAGATTGTGCGACAATATTTGTACGTAGCTATCATTGAAATCTTCATTAATAGCTACCTAGTTATAGATGCAACATCATCCTAATTAATTGGATGCCGTCCTATTTTCAAATGTGTAGAAGAAGCAATGACGACTCTAAGAATAGCCACCATTGTATATGCTACAATATTGTCCCACTGCATTGGAAAATTTATGAAAATTCTTTATGGAGTTCGCAAATTGACCTTGCATATTTGGCAATGATTGTAATTCCACAAGTGAGCAAGTGAAAACCTGAGAAAATTAGAAAATGAGCTACATCTTCATTTCTTCACGGAGAGGGACCAATAGTAGGTCAAGACCAATTTCTTGTTGCTAGGTTAGCTACCTATTAACATGTTCTAATTTTTATTCATGACTATCAGTCAATATCAATTTTCGATAACGCTCTGTAGAAGCAAATCTCTGCAACATAGTTTAAGACTTTAATCTAGGTCATAACATGTATCTCTAGGGGAGGCTCGACTTTTTTCATTTGACTATATATGGGCATGAGGGTTGACAAATAGAAAATAGCTTGCCAATATTTTATATTTGTTGACTTTTGTTGGGTTTTGATACCTAATAAATCACAGACGATGATATTAAACTAATGTTGGATAAGTTATATTGACACTTTCGTGATAGCTTGACTTGAAAACAACTTAGGTCATTTGAAACAACTTAATTAAGTTAACGTTGTTTGTATACAAGTTTTTGTGAGAGAAAATGGGTTTGGTCTCCCGTAGGCCCCATTGTGTGAGGGAGAGACGCGTTTTTAGTCTCTTGTAGGGCCCGATGTGTGAGGGGGAGATTGTTGAGATTGTTCCACATTAGTTGTAGATGTGGTTGGTATTTAGGTTATAAGTGTGAGGGAAAGCCTCACCTCTTGAGCTAGCTTTTGGGGTGAGAGAGACTCAATATCACCCAACAATAGTCATTGGCCAATGAGAAGGTGATGCGTGCGAATTAAGGTTGCAATATTTAACTTAATGTAATTCAGCAATGACCCTATAATATCCATGCACACATAATGGTTAAGGTACACTATCTTCAAACTTAAAAAAATCTATGTTAGTTTGTGTCCTACGCACCCATATTCTTCATATTCATATTTTTTTTGTTCTTGTATAGTTTTGGTAGTTGACTTGATTGTTCAATTACCAGCACTTGATTACCTCTTTTTTCTTGGGATGTTCATCCTGATGCCTAATCATTCATGCCCAAGTGTATAGAAAACATTTCACAACAAAACTAATCGATAAAATCTCGAACAATTTAGAAAAGAACACTAATAAAGAATATTAACAACGCAAGAAGCAAAACAAAATTATATTGAAGCTAAGGAGTTCACAGTAATAATGTTTGTGAAAAATGTGCTTGCATGCTTATAACCGAGTTCCAAGTAGTGATACTTAATTGAAATTGCAAAATCGAGGTTGACTTACTTTGTTTTCAAATCCCCAAAATTTGCATTTTCTTGTACTCTGATGGTCCCAATCTCAATCACAATGGAAAAAAATTATTATCCACAATCTAAATGCCATTTTTTATGAGATTCCAAGTAAAAAATGTGGTTCTTGGGGCTTTCCAATTTTGGTGTGAATTTGCATCCGAATTTTTCACACTATTTTCTATGCCATCATTTTTTTATCTCTTTTTTTTTTTTTTCCATAGCCTCATCAATCGAAGTTATCTAGGAGTTAAAAGGAGGTTATGAGAAGTTATAGATTTGAATCAATTCTATTTCTTTGATCTTTATATCGTTTTCAGTTTGTCTTTACCTATTTTTGCCACAAAACTTTACTTCCTAGCAAGATAAAAGACTAACTGACTTCGTCAAAATTATCAAATCCACATCTTTCAACCCATTGCAACTTTTTTCATCCATCAAACCTGAGACCGACTACGAAAAAATACGTTGAAGTTAAGTAAAGTGGTTGATATATTAAATAAAGTGATCGTTTGATTAGCCGCAAGTGAACGGGATCGTGAACAAGTAATAAAGTGGTGTGTAAAGTGTCGAACTCACAAGGACTATATGATTGATCAAGTTAAAGTTAACACTACCCTTAATCGAATAGCAAAATCAAGTTGTAATTAAAAACTATTAAATCTATTAACTAACCTAAAAACAACGTAAGAAAGTTTATCAAATTTGCAAGAGATATTGCTAAGATGTAAAATCCCCCTTGTTATTCCATTTTTAGTGTAACAATTAAATTGACAATTAGAAATCATTCATGTTAGTCAATGTTCCTAATTTAATTGAAAGTCTCTCTCGATAACGATCAAATCTATTCCCCTTACGTGATCCTCTTATCTTTCGATGAAAGAAGCAAACATGATAAATGTATTAATAAGTGCTAGAACACCTATTGAAATCATATAAAGCGTAGAGGTATATCTCTATTCTCTATCGAACCTTACGATATTTATTATATTGTGCTAAAATCCTATTGTATCTCTCGATAATAATAAAATCCACTAACAATTCAATTGGTGATCAAACAATTAAAAAGAATGACAAAAACGATAATAAACGTCCACAAATAAAATCAAACTAAAGTCAAAATAATTAATTAAGAGCTAAAAATATCATAGCAATGGTTCATCTCATCCTAACAATGTATAAAACTTGCATAACATATTGAAATTACAAGAAATCATATATAAGTGGAAAGATATAACCCGAATTTTTGATAAATTGAGAAGATGAAGATAAATCTTTAAATCTTGAATCTCTTCAATGGTTTCGTAATGAATCTCTACTTGCGCTTTCTCTTCTTTGTCCAATACCAAGTTTGAATCTTTACTTGATTGAATTTTTGTAAGTCCCCTTC